ATATTCATATGATGGAAAATTACTCAGCCATAAAAAAGAATGAAATCTTGTCATTTGCTATGATGTGGATGGAACTAGAGTGCATTATGCTAAGTGAAGTAAGTCAGTAAGAGAAAGACAAATACCATATGATTTCACTCATATGTGGAATTTAAGAAACAAAACAGATGAACATAGGGGAAGGGTTAGGGTTAGGGAAGGGAGAATAAAATAAGTTCAAAACAGAGAGGGAGGCAAACTCTTAACTATTGAGAACAAACTGAGGGTAGATGGAGGGGAGATGGGTAGAGGGATGTGATAAATGGGTGATGGGCATTAAGGAAGGCACTTGTTGGGATGAGCACTGGGTGTTGTATGTAAGTGATGAATCACTAAATTTTACTCCTGAAACCAATACTGTACTTTTGAATTTAAATTTAAAAAAAGAAAAAAAAAAGTTATTCTGCATGCCACTGCCAGACCAGCTCCTTACTTCTTTATTTTATAACATTCCTGCTAAAGATCTTTAGGCATTACTACCACTATGTCTTACATTCAAATCTGTTTACATTCTGGGAAAATGCTAGTAGGACAACCATGTTTCCTACTGTTATTCAACATCTATGTTCTTAGCATTCTACTCAGGCCCCACTGGCCCCTCAACATCATTGGTCAGTATTGTTTCCAGACCATTCTATATGTTGTCTTTTCCTTACTTCCTTTCTTAGCTTTGCCTATTCACATCCGATTTCTGCTTCATACCTCAGCAGCTCAAGTTCTACCTTCTCCTTGAGAACTTCTTCATCTATTCTAGGTCCAACCAATCTCACCCCTTTACCATGTTATGTTGAATTTAGAGTCAGTACCTCCAATTTAGGCAGCTGATTTTCTCTTACCGTTTCACAAATTTGTTGTTTTATAGTAGATTTTATAGCTATTAATGGCAGGGATTTTCCATTTCACAGTCTGTTTTATTACAAGTGTTTGTGTACCACAAACAGCACATTAGCAATTGGTAAATAGAAGAATTATGTGGAAGTCCAGTTGGTTCACATGTGAATTTTCTTAGCACTTTAAATTTTGAGGTGATGAGGAGCAAGCTTTCTCACAATTAAGCATAAATCCTAGCAATATATGAAGACTTTAAGAAAAAAAGAAGAATCTTGCACCAGACTCTGCCCCTTCAGTATGACTGGTATAGTGGCTTCAACAACCTCTAAGTTCCTTACATTAAACTATCTGGTGAAGCTGTGACTACTGGTAGTGAAGCTGTGAAGACATTTTACCACAGATTTTAACAAGTTGGGTACTCTTTAAATTTTTTTAAAAAGATCTATTTATTTATTTGAGAGAGAGAAAGAGAGAGCACAAGTCGGGGGGCAGAGGGAGAGGGAGAGAGAGAGAATCTCCAGCAGACTCCCTGCTGAGCCCAACACATGGCTGGATCTCAGGACCATGAGATCTAGACCTGAGCCGAAACCAAGAGTCGGAGGCTTAACTGACTGTGCCACCCAGGCACCCCTCAATTAGATTTTTAATTCTGATAAAGATAATATCTATTAAAAGTTAATGCCCTTGAGGATCCACATCAGGAAGGAAGAAGCATGAAGGCTACCAAGCATTGAGGGTTGTGATGATGGAGCAAATGCCAGTGGAGATTTAACCTTGTTAAATCTTACTTGTTTTTGTTAGTGCTCTGATTATAAAGTTGCACTGGATTTAAGTGATCTTCCCTAACCATGTTTCCCTAGAATCCCTGTTTTTCCCAGTGTGCAATTCTATAGAACAGGAGATTCTTCAGGAAGACATATGTAACATTATAGCAGAATGTCTAGTATTTTTTTTCTGTACATCTATTTTGGTGTTGGCACATAGTATATGCTTAATAAATAACTTACTAAAATAACTTTACTCTTAGGCAAATTTTATATCACAAATGTTTTTCCATGACCCTAAAGGGGGTTATTTCTCATTTCTGTCTAATCCACGTTTCCTTTCATTTCTTTATTAATGACCCAGATCGTTTAGAAGAGAACATTCAGCAGAAGGGAGACACAGAAAACAAGAGGGATAATATGAGGCTCATCAGAAACCTCTGGGGTAACAAATGACTCTAAGGTCAATTTGAAGAAAGACAGAACCTAGCAGCCTTTTATCTTTCTTTTCGCCTAGGGCTCAGTTTTTAATGTTAACTGGATGCTAAACTCATGAGAAGCCAGAGGGAGAGACTACAAGGTCAGCGGGTCTAACATAAACTTTTGATATCTCGACTGATGTTAGTAGCCTCCTTCTTTTTTCAGCATGAGAGAAAAGAGGTCTCTCCATCCACCAAGCTATCTGTGTGTCCCAGGAAGGTAAAAACAAAGGAATGTATGTGCAGTGAGATCAGCCCTAGGACTGTACTTGGTGAGGTGCCTGGTTCATAATCAGTGGACAAACCCTTGCAGGACAGTAGTGGTTTCTTTCATGTATTAGTTTCCAAGAGAGACCAATGACCTTGATGTAGGAAGGAAGGGTGTTGTTTAATTACTGTTTACATTACCTGAAGCAAAATGCTAAAAAACAAACATCAAGAATTAAGATGGGGCCGAGGTAATCACAGTAAAGTCAAATGTAAGCCATATCAGGAAGAGATTTTTTCACTTTTTGCAGTAAAGATTATGCACCTTTTACACATACCTCTAACTAACTGGATTTCAAATGTAGCTTCACTTGGCCTGAGGATAGTGAAACCCAACCTTATATTCAAATAATGTCAAACCATTTTCAAGTTTATTTACATAATCCAAACAGGCCATTTGTATTACAACGCCTTCTCCCTTTTAAAACCACACTAATGAGACCTAAAAGTCCTTCATGATCTGGAAACTGCTTATCTGTTCCACTTTTTCTCTTGGCAACAGAAGCCTTCTCCCCCCAGATGCCCTCAATTTCTTAATCATAGGGTCTCTGCACATGCTATTGTCATTTCCCTTGCCTGAAATGCTCTTCCCCCTCTTTCTTTGCCTTGTAATTGCTCAACACAGTTTTAATATGCTTTCCAATAGCCTGAAAACCCTATAAGAGCAAGCCATATCTGTCTTGTTCACTATTGTATCCACAATGCCTAGCACAGTACCTAATATTTAGTAGGCTATCAACAAATACTAACTTTAATTATACCTTTAAGACTTAGCTCAAACATCATTCTCTTTGGGAAGGTGTCTTGGAACCTTGACATTCTGGTGGTTTACCTCCCTCATGTGCTCTATGAGCTCCCTGTTCATATCTGTTGTCCTGAAGTGCAGTTCTTTAATCGTCTGTCTCTCCCGGTAGACTATGAAGTTCTAAAGGGCAGAAAGTGTGTCCACTTCATTCTTCTAACCCAGAACACTCTGTATAGCACCTGGTATACTCTAAGGAGCTTAATAAATACCCATGCAGCAGATTATTGATCCATGTTTGAGCTTGGAGGATTCTCACCCATATCCACATCTCTTAAACAGGAATTGGTAAACAGGTCATGTCTTTCTGTAGCATGCATTTTTACTCAATTTTTCAGGAGGGGAAACATTTAAGTTAAATCACATATGTGTTTGTGTGCATATAGTGAGTTGAGTTCAAAATATACATCAAATTTTAAGATAGAAACTTAGACAAAGCAAATTTACCTTAGGGCTCCTTGTCCACCCTGTCTGGGAGCATGGATTTCCTCTTCTGTGTTGTTTTTGGGTAGTTTACCACCTGCATGATTAAAAAGAAAGTTAATGACAATGACAGCCAGGATTAAAACTGTTTTTAGATAATATTATGTTTTTTTCACTCTACTGTCCCAGTTAATTGCCTCATCACATCTACAGCATGGTCAAATTTATTGTAGTGCACTCCCAATAAATATGCTCATAAACAAATTAGATTTGCCATAGTTGAATTTAGGTTGAAGGGGAGGGCAAAAGAAGTCATAGCCTGAAGATATCTGAGTAACAGACATATGGACATGTTAGTAGACTTAGTATCTGAGGTTACACTTCAGGCTTCACTAGCATATGTGCTCTTATTCTATGATGGTGGTTCATTCAAATCCTGCTCTGCCCCTGCAATGGTCTCAGTGTGAACACTATTTTTAGAGGGCCCTGTTTAAAAAAGATGTTAGAAATATAGCCTGGGCCTCTTCCTGACAAGACAAGCACTAAAGACTAACGATGCTTACAGTACCCTGCTGCTGCTGCACAAAAACACCTAGCATTTGTGTAGAGATTTACGTTTTAAACAAAGCTTTGACACACATGATCTTACTCCCCACAACAACCCTAAACCTAAACTAGTTCCAGAAACTGAAAATAGCACTCAATCCAATTGCTAGCTCTCTATAGGTGCTTTAGTTAAAGAGCCTTAACTGCTCCCCCTTCCCCCAAGATTAGGTAGTGGATGCCTGCTGCTTCTACTACCCAGCAGCATGGGAATAAAGGAACGACTGTATTTCTTTGATCTCAAAGCAATCATGGCAATACAAAGCACCTCCCTCTGTCCACTTTGACCCATACAGTCTTTCTAGGCAATTAATCAGTGCTCCCAATGGTAGTTTTCCTATACGATGCCAGCTGTCTTGCCAATCTACCCCTCCCACAGAGCCTAGCAGGACCACACCCCCAGCAAGGCGTCCGTGGGGAAGGTGCTCTGGCCTACACTAGGGGAAGCGGATACTCAGGTACACCTGCCAGTTAAACTCATACTTGAATCCTTCCGGGCCTCAGTTTCCCCATCTCTAAAATGGGCTATACCTCCTTTCTCTTGGCTAGTTCCCTTCCATTTCACGCTGAGCCCCTAGGAAGTGAAATCAGTGCTTAACCGCAGCTTAAAGTCCTCTCCTATCCTCTGGCGCCCGTCGCTGCGCTGGGCATGCTCAGTAGCTGGGGCCCGCTCGGCACTGGGAGTAGGAAGCAGCTTTCCGCGCCCAGGCGGCTGACTGCGGGTACTTTGATGAATCACGTGTGTCGAGGCCCTCTTAAAGAGATAGGCACCTACTTTCCCTCCACCCTTAAACACCGCCCTGAGGGCGGCGGCGCCAGCGACCGCGGTAATTGCAGCTGCTCAGGGGCAGGGCTTGCCCCAGCGCCGAGTAGTGGCAAAGGCGTGTTGCGTCGGGGGTGCCTGGGAGCCGGGAGCCTGAAATCGGCAGCTCCCAGGCAGACACACTCTCACCAGGAAGAGGTGATACCGAATCGGCTGGGGCAGCGGGACCACCCCGAGGGGCTTCCCCAAGTTGGGGAGAGGTGGGGTAACAGGTCACAGGTGATAAGGCCGGAGAAAGATGGAGCAGCCCGGGGCGGCGGCGTCGGGAGCGGGAGGCGGCAGCGAGGAACCCGGTGGGGGCCGGAGCAACAAGCGGAGCGCGGGGAACCGGGCCGCCAACGAAGAGGAAACGAAAAACAAACCCAAATTGGTGAGTGCTCCCGCAGTCCCCGCCGGCCTTGGGGACATCGAGAGCCCCGGGATCCTCCGGCTGTTGCGCACGGGGGAACCCGGGGCCCCCTCCCAAGGCTCACCGCGATTTGGTTTTGCTACTCCGGGAGCCGCTCAAGGAGCGGCCACGCCGAGGCGCGGAGACGGCGTGGGGGCGGAAGAGCACCCCCTTCTCCATTTAACCCCTTTCTCACTCTTACCATTCCGCGAGGCAGTGCGGAAAGGAGAAAGGCCCCACCCCAACTTGGGGAGACTCCGAGTTCCTGGGTAGGGTCTGTTGTTTGTCTAACTTGTGGGCACGAATATTCCCGCGATTCCTTTCTTTCCCACCTCAGTCAGTTGCTGGGTTTTGACTCTTAATACTTAGTGTCCGGGTAGGGGAACCTCTTTTCTTTTCAACCCAGATACTTGGGAGCCCACCCACAGACTTACAAACCAGCCTCACCCTTAAAAACACAAAGCGTAGGCTCCTAGTCTTTGTACTTTACCAGAAATCTAAGGAAGAGTCGCCTACGTGCGCTTTTTCCCGTTGCCTCTTCCCTGTGCTCACCCAAGAAACATTTGTAAAAGTGGGGGGAGCGTGGGAGTTCGAGGCTGGGTGAGGTACCACCAACTGTTGTGTATATAATAGAGTCATTACAGTACTTCCACTTAGTTGATTAAGAACGCTCAAAAGCCCTAAGACTGCACAAGTTTCATTGCCCTGAAAGTGTGTGAACCAGTGGTAGCAGTCCATTTCCTGCCACTGACTTAATGTGCCGAGGAATGTAATCTATGGGGCCTGGTATTAGGTTGGGAAATACTGGAGTTTCCTCAACTCATCAGTTAAAAGGGTTCCTCTTTTTTTTTTAGTTTATATGAAAATGGCTTAATAGTGAAATTTAAAAACTGGTAGCATTAACAAAATATATTGACTGCAGTCTATTTTTCCCAACCATGGCAAATATGCAGACGTTTATCAATAAAGTTTATAATTTGGGTGGCATGAGGGAAAATAGTTTTCCTGCACAGATTCAGCAAATAAATCCTGTTTGAAAGTTCTTCCTCTGACTCTGAAGTACAAGCACATGTTGCACATTTAGTTTTCAGTTTTAACCAGCAACTTGTTTGTAATAGGGGAGGAGACTAGTGACATTACTAAAGCCTTTTCTTATGGCATCTGATCATTTGGTATGTACCTGTTGCACTTCTCTCTCTTTCTTTCAGTTTGCCTTTCAATTATGGATTGTCCTTACTGGTCAAAGTATTATTTCAGGAAATACACAGATTTCCATTGTGTAGGGAAGGGACTTAGTGGGGTAGAATAAAATGAACAGTTTAAAGTCTCATCAATTCCACCCTAACTTGAGGCAAATTGAGAACTTGCTTACTTGATATGTCCTGTTAACCTAGTATTTACAAATGAAGAAACTGCTTTTTGTGAATTGTCTTTGCTGGCAGAGGGTTAATGGGTTTAATAGGTGCCCCCAGCATCATGAAACTTAAGTTTTGTGAGTGTATCACCAAAGTTTAATATATTTAAAAATTCTGGTATGATTTTGAAATTTATCAGTTTGTGGTAAATATTTCCTTTTTTTTTATTTTGACCCAGTACAAAACTGTGATTTAAACAATGATTAAAAGTTTCAGCAAAAATAAAAGTGAACTCAGTGTCCATGAATAGTTTGGTACATCCAGCAAGAAGCTTCTACTTTTAGGAACTACACTTTCAAGAAAGCACTTATCTCTGTTAGTAATAACAGTTTGATTATATTCTTCCTTTCCCTTTGGTATTTGTCCTGTTTCATCTTTTATGTTTTACTTGCTTTGACGAGGTAACTAGATCGTTATGAGATGGTATCACTTTCACTTACTAGCTAACGGCGTTCAGTGTTGAACATAGCTTGATATAGTAGAACACGTATTTGAATCCAAGAGTTTGTTACTATCAATTGGAACTTTCTTTTTTGCTCAGATTAACTTCGGAGCCTTACATGATTTTACAAGCAGATGTGTCAGAGTTAATAAAAAATTTAGGAAGACATTTCAGCACATTTTAAGGCAAGCAAGTTGACCAAACAACAAGACTTGGTAGACTTTTTTTTTTTTTAAATAAACGCCTTACTCATTATTTTAAGTTGCCTTATTGAAGTGCTCAACATGTTCTTCTAAGGCCTTTTAGGATGGAGTTCATCTGCGGTTCTTAACTTAAAATATTGCCAGTAAGATAAAGCTTTATCTAGACTTAATTTTATTATTTTGAGTATTATGTCATTAATCACTGTAATAGTTCTTAATTGTATATGTATATAAAGGAGTTGTGTGAGATTATAAAAGAGAGCTATATGATCTTAGAAATTATTTGTGTAGGTGATTGTGGGGGATAGGGGTTCTTAAACTCCTGAAATTGTATGAAAAATTTGAGTGTATGTAGGTACATTCATTTTTCTGGGTCTCATAGTTTTCATCAGTTTCTCATAGGCACCTGTCACCGATAGAAGCCTAAGAACTATTAGGTTACCAAAGAGAGAGGGTAAAGGAAATGCCAGTTGATTCCACTCCAAGTTACTAGGGAGGGGAGGAGGTCAGTGATGAAGGGAGAAGGAAAATAGTACTGATCACACAAATGATTGATATTGAATATTATTCATCTGGGAGTAAAAAGATAATTAGATAATGTCTATATATAGTATTAGCTAAGATGAAAGTTTCCATTACATAGAAAAAGTAACAATAGTTATAGTGGATTCATTACAGTATAAAGCTTGTGATTCAGTTTTCATTTAGTTCCTCATTGTTCTGGAAAACTGGAGAAGGAATGTATGTTTTCTGTTGAGAGGAACTACTCTAATTTATATCTGAACCTTTTGATGGGTATTAGAATTTTTTTTTGATGGGTATTATAATATTTTTCAAAGTGACATTTCAAGACTTTAATGACTTCTGTTTAAGACTAAATCAAAATTTAACAGAACTTAGTTTACTTTTCTTCATCTGTGAATTCTCATAATGACCCTTTTTGATTCTTTTTACTGAAGGCAGTCTTCTCTTGAACTTCTCACATTTTGAATAATGCATTAGTAGTAAAGCTTTGTATTTTATGTAACTCTTTGGTTATGCCCAGATTGTAGCATGTCATCAAGCAGCATGAATCTTAGATTAATTAGTAATTTGGTGTCAATCATGGAGTGTATTTTGTCAAATCTAGTAGAGCTCTAGAAGTATTATGAAGGAGCTGCATCTTGAATCCCACATATTTAAGGCAAGGGCTTGACCATTAAAAGAGGCCATTGTTAAGGTAGAACTAACACCCCTCACATGTTTTTGCATTTTGATTTTGTGTTTCTGTATCATTCCTGAAGCCTTTTGTTCTTTAGATAGTGGATGGAGTCAAATTAGTAACTTGATGTAACAGAAGTTAATTTTTTGGTTATTGTATAACTTCCTGGATATTTGGTTTGGTTTTTTAAATGAATAAATCATGTTTTGATTTAATTGATACAATGGTGAATTTCTTGGAGAGGGGTGCCAGAATGGAGGCAGGAAGACCAGTTAGGAGGAACAGAGTGGTTGATGTTCAGAGACCTGGATTCCAGTTGCAGCTCATCTACTCATCCATTTACTAGTTCATCTATTTACTAGGCATATTTCTCTGCACTTCAGTTTCCTCCTGCCACTCCATTGCCTCACCTTCTTGCCACCCACACTGAACATCTTCACCAAATTTGAAATATCCACCTTGTGTTTCTCCTTTATAAATCTCACCTGCCTTTCACAGCCCAGATTGTGTCTCAAAATTCCCTCATTCTTCCATTAAAACTTCACTGATTACTTCAGCTTACCAAAGGGTTTTCCTTATTCTGAATTCGTAACTATTGTGAGTCTGAATGTTACATGCTGATCTTGTATCTACAGAGATTTTTTTTTTAAGATTTTATTTATTTGACAGAGAGAGAGAGACAGCTAGAGAGGGAACACAAGCAGGGGGAGTGGGAGAGGGAGAAGCAGGCTCCTGGCCGAGCAGGGAGCCTGATGCGGGGCTCGATCCCAGGACTCTGGGATCATGACCTGAGCTGAAGGCAGACGTTTAAAGACTGAGCCACCCAGGCGCCCCAACATTTTTTTTACTATAGTATTTTTTAAGAACCAGGCTACCATTTTCTTTCAGTTTATCAATTTGACACATTTAAAATTTTTGTTAAAAAATGTTTAATAGAGGGATGCCCAGCTGGCTCAGTTGGTTAAGCATCTGCCTTCGTCTTGGGTCATGATCCCAGGGTCTTGGGATAGAGTCCCGCATCGGGCTCCTTGCTCAGTGGGGAGCCTGCTTCTCCCTCTGCCTGCTGCTCCCCCTGCTTGTGCTCGCTCGCTCTCTCTCTGACAAATAAATGAAAATCTTAAAACAGACTTTTATTAGATATCTTTGGCATTCTGCCTTGCCAGGTAGCTTGCTGTTGTACAAATAAGGAAACTGAGTCACTGATATGTTAAGGGGACTGGTCTAGAGATAAGTTTAAAATCTATCACTTCTATTACAAAACGTACTTGTAGCACCGAGTTATTATGCTTTAGGGTCTCTGAAAGTGAAAAATTACTCAATCTCTCTTTTTGGAACCATTAGAATTATAATCCACCTAGAGTTTACTCCACGTACCAAGAGCTCTGGCAGTAGCAGTATGTCATTGAAGTGAAATCCTATTCTTTGCCAATCTGGTCCCAAAGAACACTTTAACAGGACACGTTGGCTAATTTCCATGAATCAGCATGTTTGGTTAAATATTACTGTTATCACTAGCACCATGTGGATTATTATTGAAGACCCAACTTACCCTATTCCTATATTCAGTCTGCCATGCAGAAGAGACCAGTTCCTTCTGTCAGATTTGGGGTGTTTGATATGCTATTTTGTCTTAAGACTGAAGAGACTAAGATGATAACCAGGTGACTTGAAATAATAGTTAAATACTTGATATCCAAGTGGGCATCTTGTAGGAGATACCC